TGTATGTAGATGTGAACATGTATGTAGATGTGAACAAAACGTACTCCATCTCTGTTGTGGATTTCATTTCATTTTTAAGTTCTATGCTGTGACCTTTCACCAATCTCACTGTAGAAGGATAGCAAAAATTTCTAGTTCATGATTATTTTGTTCCTTAAAAATGTAGCCATAGGAGGGGAAAACAGGATGGCGGTGTATGTAATAGCTGTACCCGCCGCCTCCCACAACCATGTCAAAATTACAACTAAAATACAGAACCACCATCACTCAGAACCTCCTGAAATCTGGCTGAACAGAAGCCCTACAACCAGGGTACTGAAGAAGCACTGAGACCCGTAGCAGGGGAGGAGAAGCGGGCACATTGGGGCTGAATCGTGGAGACGTGGTCGCGGGCCCACACCTGGTGCTGCAGTTTAAGCCTGGGAGGGACATCTCAGCGGTGGAGGTTTCCCAAGGAGTGAGGTGTCCCAGCCCCACAGCAGGCCCTCTGCCCAGGGCTCCAGGGCCGGGAAGAGAAATCCCCACAACTTTGGGCTGTGAAAACCAGCAGGGACTGTCTCTGAGGGTCGAGGACGGTGCAGGAGTCCCAGGCAGCTCCTCTTAAAGGGCCTGTGCACAGACTCACTCAGACATGCTCCCTCTGAGCCCCANGAGGACGGTGCAGGAGTCCCAGGCAGCTCCTCTTAAAGGGCCTGCGCACAGACTCACTCAGACATGCTCCCTCTGAGCCCCAGGAAGCAGTTTGAAAGGAACCTGGGACACTTAGGGAGGAACTAACCTGCCTGAAATTGGGGTGAGAGGTAGAGGGGCAGCTTTCTCCCAGACAGAAGAGCTGGCAGAGGCCATTGTTCCTTTGGCGAGCCCTCCCACCACAGAGCCGGCAGGCAGGCAGGCAGGCAGGCGCTGTCTCTGAATCTCCAGCACCTGACTCACACCTTTGGCCCTGTCACAGTGATTCCCCGAGGCACCACCCCTTCCTACCTGCAAGCTCATCCAAGCCATTTCCAGTGGGTTTTCTGTGCAAGTGGCCTCTCCAGCCTTATGCTTAGGACTTTCCTAAAATCTCTCAAACAAGCAGCAGCGGGCCCCATACGTCCTGATAAGCGGCCCCAGGCCTGGCACTAGTGGTAGCTTGCATTGGTTCATAGCTTGGCCTCTCCTGGACACCTACAAGCCCAGCACAAGTAGCAGCCAACTACAGTTTGCTGTGTAGCTCATGCTGGGTGGCCCTGGACAAGGCACTGGCAGAGGCTGACTTTGCACCTCCTGGGAGGCCCCAGAGACAGTGCACCTGGTGCTCAGACTCGACCATGCTGGATTACAACCCTACCACATCCACAAGGGACACACTCAAGGGCACACTCGGTGAACGCCAAAGCTCCACTGAGGTAAATCCTGATCCATAGAGGTGTCTCCAGCACAGAAGCCCTTTGACTGTAGTTGCAGCTGGTTCTCACAGCTAATTGGCCTGGGGATCAATTCCTCCCAGTGACACCAAAAGCAACCAAGGCTCAACTACAACAGGACAGTGCACACAGCCCACACAGGGGAGCACCTAGAATGCCCAGCTCAGGTGATTGGGGAGGCTGAGCCACTGGACCCTACAGGACACCTACTATACAAAGCCACCTTACATATCTCAGGAGACATAGTAGCTCTACCTAGTACATAAAAAAAACACCTGGAAGCAGCCAAAAGAAACAGGTCACAAAGGAAAGAACAGAAGAAATCTCCAGAAGACGAATTAAATGAAATAGAACCAAGCAAGCTAACAGATACAGAGTTTATAATTTTGTTTATAAGGATGCTCAACCATATTAGTAAGAGTATTATGAAAACAACTGAGAAAATTGATGACATGATAAAGTACCAATTTGAAATGAAGGCTACAAGAACTGAAATGAAGAATAATTTGCAGGGAATCAACAGTAGAGGACGCTGATAATCACATCAGCAATTCAGAACGTGAGGAAACAAAAAACACCCAACCAGAAGAGCAAAAAGAAAAAAGAATCCAGAAATATGAAGATAGTATAATGAGCCTCTGGGACAACTTCAAGAGGCCCCACATTTGTATTATTGGTATGCCAGAAGGAGAAGAAAGAGAGCAAGAAATTGAAAACCTATTTGAAAAAATAATGACAGAAAACATCCCCGACCTGGGGAAAGAAATAGACTTACAAGTCCAGAAAACACAGAGGGTCCCAAACAAGAGAAACCCAAAGAGGCCCACAGCAGGACACATCATAATTAAACTACCAAAGGTTAAAGACAAAGAGAGAATCTTAAAAACAGCAAGAGAAAAGCAATTAGTTACCTACAAGGGAGCACCCATACAACTGTCAGCTGATGTCTCAACAGAAACTTTGCAGGCCAGAAGGAAGTGGCAAGAAATATTCAAAATGATGAAAAACATGGAACTACAACCAAAATTGCTTTACCCAGCAAAGCTATCATTTAGAACTGAAGGTCAGATAAACAGCTTCACAGATAAGAAAAAGCTAAAGGAGTTCATCACCACCAGACCAGCACTAGGTGCTCCATCCTTTTAAAATAGAGGGAATATCACTGCTCCCATTTAGACCTAATCACACTACTTTTCTCTGAATCCATCTCTTTTCAAGGGCTTCATTCCTGAGTGTCCTCTCCCTGCTGTACCATCAGCTTCTCTCTACTGAATTATTTCCATGAATATACAAACTCACTCAGTACCTCTCAGTATCACCAATTTGGTTTTTAACAGTAAAACTAGAGGGTATTCTCTCTATTCACTGTCTTGACTCTATTAACTCTGGTTTCCATCCCCACCGTTTCACTGAAGCTTATTTTTTCAAGTCATCTTTCTGTCATCAAACCAAAGGACATGGCTATCTTCAGCCTTCTCACTTACCACGGGATTTGATTCAGTCAACCACTCCCTCCTCAAAATACTATTTATCTTTGCTTTCATGACACCATCCTCTTCCTATTCTTCTTGAACACCTCTTATCTAACCCCTAACCTCTTGCTACTCAGAGTGTGATATGGGACCACTGGCACAAGAGCATCTGGAAGCTTGTCAGATATACAGACTCAGACCTCAGACCTAATGGATCCGAATCTCCTGTGAACAAGGCCACCAGATAACTCCCAGGACATTAAAGTTACAGAATCATTGCTCTGAATGTTGGTGCCCCAGAGTCCTGTGCTCTACTCTCCTTCTAGGTGATCCCATTCAGGTCAACAGCTTTAAATACTATATTTTATCTCCAAATCTCTCTCTCTCTAGCACTGATTTCCCTCTTAAATTCCAGATTCATAACTCAATAGCCTACAGGACATCTCCATTTGAATGTCTCAGATATTTCAAACTTAATATGTTGAAAACAGAAGCCCTTGCCTATGTCATTACATAGCCCCACCAAAATAAGACAGCTAAGTTTACTGAGCCCTCAAAGTATTACAGGTTCTATCCTAAGTGCTTACCATGTATCAGCTCCTTTGGTCCTCACCCGACCACCAAGAGGTAGGTACCATTATTGTCCTGTTTTTATAGAAGAGTAACTGAGGCAGAGAAAGTTGCCCATAATCATGTATCTCTTAAGTACTACAGCCAGGATTTGAAAAAAGGTCAACTGACCCAAGAACATGCTCCTGTGATTCCTCTTAATTCCATCTGTCCTTAACTCAAATCCGAACTGTAAAATCATCATTTATTTCTTCATCATCCACTTCCAATTCTGCATGTTACATCATTTTCCTCTTGTGTTTATTAACCCTCTAACTGGTCTCCCTCCTTCCACTCTGCCTGGTCTTCCTTCATGGCAGTGAGTTTTATTTTTTCAGTCTTCACTCGAGAATATGATTTTATTAATTTTTATAGAGAGGAAGGGAGAGAGAGAAAAAAAAAAACAATGTGAGAAACACTGATCTGTTACCTTCTGTACACACCCCAACCGAGGGTTAGACCCACAACCTAAGTATGTGCCCTGAGCAGGAATCAAACCTGCAACCTTTTGGTGTACAGGATGACATTCCAAACAACTGACCCACCCAGCCAGGGCAGCAGTGAGTTTTCTAAAGTAAGAATTAATGTCACTGCCTCGTTGAAACCCCTTCATGGACTGCCATATGCTGGACTATGGCCAAAGGAACCCTTTGTGACCTGAGTCCTGTCTTTTCCCTCTCATACCCCACATTAGCCTTAGGGGCTCCTATTCCTGGGACATGCGAACCAAGTACACTGTCCCATCCCCTCAGGGCCTTTGCTCTTGCTGTTTCCATGGATCAAAACCATATTCTTTTCTCCCAGCTCCCTCATCCTGAAGGTCTCCACTGTCATATTGCCTCTTCCCAACCACACTATCTAAAGGGTCACTGTCATAGTACCATGTCTCCTCTATAGCACTTACCATGTCTGAATCTGAGAGAAAACAGAAACATAGTAGTGAAGGCCCTGGGGCAAATTCCTCATCCATCTGGGTTCACGTCCTGGCTCTATCCTATGACATTTCTTCGGCTGCCTCTCCTCATCTGTTAAGAAGGGGTATAGTAGTCCCTATTTCCTATGGCTGCTGTGATGAGTTACAACAATGCCTGGCACTTACTACATGCTGTTGGAAGCGTTTGCTATCCTTATTATATGTACTTGAGGGCAAGGACCTTGCCCCTAGATCATCTCTATATTCTGTGCTTAGAACACCCAGCTTATAATAGTTTGTTAAATGAATACTGTTCCTCTTCATTGTTCCCTTCATAAAAGTAACAAAGTGCCAGTACGTACCATTTCCCAATGACTTTTTGTGTTTTTACCCTGGGTTCACCATTTAATGTGCCTTCATGGTCTATTTTACATGCATTTATTTCATTCCACTCATATTGTACAATTGTTATACAAACTAGAAAAAGTACAAAAGCCTAATTCATTTTCCAAAACCTAGTCAGAGCTAAGGTACAAAAAAAGGAACAGTACAGTAAGTGACAAGAAGGGTTGGGGTGACCTATACAAATCATACTGCCTGTCACATGATGTATTTAATGCTGTAAATATTGCCACAGGAGAATCTCTTGTCTTTGCAGCGTCCACATAGTTCCTGTCGATGAGGCCTCCTTAGATCAATGTTTCTTTTCTTTAGAGGACACGAACAACGGGACTTTAAACAAGTCTTTAGAAAACAAGGAACAGTTTAGATATAATCAAATTAGCATTTCAAACGTAATCCTCAAACCAAAATACTTCTCCCCACCACCCCCTCCATAGTATCTTCATCTTCCTTTGAATCCTAGGAGAAGTCTAAGACCAAGTTTTACAAAAGCACTCACATCCCGTTAAATGCCATGCATTTGTCAAGATGAATGAACAAAGATGATGTTTAAAAGAATATCATGATGAATCTCAGAGGGAAGGCGGGGGGGGGGAGGGGG